AGGTCATTGTCACTCAGATCCAGCTCTGTCAGGTGTGAGGAGTCTGAGCTGAGAGCTGAGGCCAGCTCTTCACAACATTCTTCTCTAAGTTTACACTGGTGCAATCTAAGCAAGGAAAAACAAGTTTTCATAAGACTATAAAGCACAGACCAACCTTACAACATAAACAACAGTAAAAAAACATTTGGAAATAGTTACAACGAAGTACAGGTACATCAGGCAATATCTTCACCTTCTAACTTGAATTTCATTAAATAATACTGACCTCAGGATCTCCAGTTTACAGTGTGGATTCCTCAGTCCATCGGAGAGCAGCTTCACTCCTGAATCCTGCAGGTCATTGTCACTCAGATCCAGCTCTCTCAGGTGTGAGGAGTCTGAGCTGAGAGCTGAGGCCAGCCATTCACAGCTCTCTACTCCGAGGTTACATTGGATTAGCCTAGACAGAAATAAGTAAAAATGATGGTCAGTCAAATATTTCCTTTTATTGTCATTGAAATATATCACTATCTCCACTTTACAGTTATAGATCCCTAGCAGTACTGACCTCAGTATTTTGACTTTACAGTTATAGATCCCTAGCAGTACTGACCTCGGTGTCTCTACTTTACAGTTATAGTTCCTAGCAGTACTGACCTCAGTATCTCCACTTTACAGTTATAGTTCTCTAGCAGTACTGACCTCAGTGTCTCCAGTTTACAGTGTGGATTCCTCAGTCCATCAGAGAGCAGCTTCACTCCTGAGTCTTTTAGGTCATTGCCACTCAGGTCCAGCTCTCTCAGCTGTGGGGAGCTGAGAGTTGAAACCAGGTCTTCGCTACAGTCCTCTGTAAGGTTACACTGGTCCAGGCTGAACAGCAGACATAATGTTTGAAAAAAAAAAGCACTGTAGTACATCTGTGGCATTAAAAATGAAAATGTTTAAAACTTATGTGAGCTCTTTTTGCCTAAAAGCCTTTATGAAAATGAAGTTACATAAAATTTAAAATGCTGAATACCTCCTTTTCTTGGAAAAAACTTTTGGAAAAACAATGGAAAAATGTAAATAATTCCAAACTGTTAAATTAGATCAAATAAAAACACTCAGTGACAAAAAAAAGCTAAGCACCCAGAAGTATTGGTCCGATTTGGATTTAATTTGGTACACGTGCAGACCAGCAATGGGTATGTAAATGATTCTATTTGCAAGGAATTGGCACATCTAGTCACCAAACACAGAGGATGCCTCGTAGACACATTAGACAGCATTACCAGCACTTGATGGAGTTTGATAGGGGTTGCATTGTGGGTTTGCATGAGGCTGGGTGGTCGTATCGTGCAACTGCATGGCATGTGGGGCATGCAGATGTCACACTCACCCGATGTTGAACTTGGAACCAATGGACACGTGAGGACACCCACACACGTCGTGAAGGTTTTGGTCACCCAAGACAGACCACACTAAGGGAGGATCGTCGTATTGTGCACCAAGCATTACAGAACCCCATGACATCTGCGCCTGCCATTCGGACATAGGTACTGGACTCTCTACAACATCCTGTGTCAACCTGCACTGGGTCTCGACGACTGGCATCAGCCAGAATACGGGTTCACCGTCCCATGCGTAGGCTGCCATTAACACCAGCGCAGAGACTGCTGCCTCTGGAGTAGTGCCATAACTGGGAGGCATGGAATGATGACGAGTGGCATCATACCATGTTCAGTGATGAATCTCGATTCTGCAGTACCACATATGACTATCGTGTGTGCGTATGGCGGCGCCAAGGAGAGAGAACCAATCCTGCCAGTGTTGTGGAGAGACACACCGGCATTGCTCCTGGCATCATGGTATGGGGAGCCATAGGATATGACTTCAGGTCATCTCTGGTAGTAATTCGGGGACCCTGACGGTACAGCGCTATGTCAGTGACATCCTGCATCCACATGTCTTACCCCTTCTGAGACTACACCCTGGTACAGTCTTTCAACAAGACAACGCCTGTCCACACACGGCACGTGGGTTTACGGATTGCCTATGTCATGTTGTGGTCCTCCCATGGCCAGCTTGGACGTCAAGTTGAACCCAGTGCCAATCTGCAGGATCTCTAAGGCCAATTACAACAGTTGTGGGCTGACTTGCCACAGGAGAGGATACAACAGCTGCACGACTCCCTTCCGCACTGTATCGCATGTATGCAGGCCGGGGCGGGCACACCCTACTGACATGGGACCAGCAGTGTGCCCATACTGCCAACTCTCTTGTCCATTTCATCTGATATTATAATCGTGGCGATTGAATCACATGACCTTCCACCACGGGCATATTCATTTAATTTCCACCACACTGTCTGGGTGCTTTTTTTTTGTCAATGAGTGTAATTGGCTCCGCATGAAATAATTTCAGCACCATTTCAATTGCATATACTTACAGAACTGTTCTGGAGATCCTGATCACTGGAAGGAGCCTCTTCAGTGCTTCTTCTGATTTGATGTACTTTTTCAAATCAAAGACGTCCTGCTCTCCCTCTGATGTCATCAATACAAAGACAAGAGCCGACCACTGTGTAGCTGAGAGGTACTCTGTCGAAAGGCCACCTGAGCTCAGGTAACTTTGGATTTCCTGTACTAGAGAGTTGTCACTCAGCTCATTCAGACAATAAAACAGATTAATCGACCTCTCAGTACAAAGATTCCCCCTGATCTTCTCTTTGATGTATCTAATGGTCTCCTCAACACTCTCTGAGCTTCTTTCTGCTTGTCTCATTAGACATTGCAAGAATCTCTGATTAGAGTCCATTGAAATGCCAAGAAGAAAGCGGAGGAAAAGGTCCAGGTGTCCAGTTTTACTCTGTAAAGCCTTATCAATGGCACTTTTGAACAGGTAAGTTATGGATTCTTTTACAATGGCTGCACTTTTCTCAAGCACATTAATGTTGTTGTTTGTAAATGACTCAAACACATAGACTGCAGCCAAAAACTCCTGAACAGTTAGGTGCACAAAGCTGTACACTTTCCTTTGAGACATCACATCTTCTTCTTTAAAGATTTCTGTACACACTCCAGAGTATACTGAAGCTTCACCGATATCTATGCCACACTCTTTCAAGTCCTCTTCATAAAATATTAAATGCCCTTTTACCAGATGCTGAAATGCCAGTTCACCTAGTTTCAGAATGATCTCTTTGTCAGATTGTAGCAGCTCATTCATTGCATGATACTTCTGATTTTTTCTGTTTATTTGAATTAGTAAGAAATGTGTGTACATTTGTGTCAGTGTTGTAGGAATTTCCTCTTGCTCTTCATTATTAAACATTTGCTCAAAGACAGTTGCTGAAATCCAACAGAACACTGGTATATGACACATGATGAATAGGCTCCTTGATGATTTTATATGTGAAAATATGGTACTGGCCAAGTCCTGATCGATAAATCTCTTTGTAAAGTATTCCTTCTTCTGCGGATCATTAAAGCCTCGTATATCAGTCACCCGGTGGACACACTGAGGAGGGATCTGACTGGCTGCGGCTGGTCGGGAGGTTATCCAGAGGAGAGCGGATGGGAGCAGATTCCCCTTAATGAGGTTAGTCAACAGCACATCCAGTGATGTTGTCTTTGATACATCACAACAGGTAAAATTATTCTGGAAGTCTAGAGGGAGTCGACACTCATCCAAACCATCAAAGATGAAAACAGTTTTGACTCTATCAAGTTCATCATCTGTAGTCACTTTTAGTTCTGGAAAGTAGCGATGAAGAAGTCCCATTAGACTATATTCTTTATGTTTCTTAAGATTAAGATCGCGGAACTGAAGAGGAAACATTAAATGAATATCCTGATTTGCTTTTCCTTCTGCCCAGTCAAGGATGAACTTCTGCACAGAGACTGTTTTTCCAATGCCAGCGATCCCCTTTGTCAGTACAGTTCTGACTGGTTTCTCTTGACTGGTTAAAGGCTTAAATATGTTGTTGCAGTTGATTGCAATTTCCAGAGTACTTGTTTTCTTGGCTGTCGTCTCGATCTGCCTCACTTCATGTTCATTATTAACTCCTTCGCTCTCTCCCTCCGTAATGTACACATCTGTATAGATGTCATTGAGTAGGGTTTGATTTCCCTGCTTTGTTATCCCTTCAAATATGTGTTGGTATTTCTGTTTTAGCTTTGCTTTCAATTCCTGCCGGACTTCTCTTTTGGACACATCTAAAAGAACATGGATTATATGTATTATTGCTTAATGTCAAAGTAAAATTTCAGGAAGAACTACAATGAATGCACCATAGGCATTGAATTTTTTAGTCCGACCTGCTTCACTTAGGAATCCTTATGATGGAGGGAAAAATGGTACCGTAAGATGGTCAAAATATACTGGGTTTCTTGGTAAGTGAGTCATGTATCATTGGCTATGGGTCACATGTCTCCTGGTCAGCATCCAATCATAAGATTCAGACTCAAAACCAGATAAGTGTATTTTGTACT